TAAACGCCTTAATTGATCTATTTTATAATATAAAACATTATAAAACAAATTAGTTAAGGTGTTAGTATTAAGAATGCCTTAACTGATTTGTTTTATAATTTTAAAAATAATCAATTGAGGGGTTTCTCAATACAAATATTTTAATTGATCTATTTTATAAATTATAAAGCCTATATACAATTAAAGCATTCAAAGTAACAAACACTTTAATTGATCAATTTTTTAAATAATATATACCCTCTCAATTAAAACGTTTATATTAACCAAAGCCCTTAATTGATGATATTTTATAAATTAAAACAATAACTAATTAAAATATTTGTTTTCTTTTGCTACTAAAGACATCTTTGTCATTTAGGCATTTATTATTAATAAAACGAAATGAAAGATTGACGTAAGTTTATCAAGGAGATTATAATAATTATATAAGAATTAATATATGTGGATTCTTCTCAACCAAATGAATGAATCTGAATATGAAATACCTTAAAAATCAAAGAAAACTCAACATATTGCACTTTCCTAAGATATCACACTTTCTTTTAAAATTCAAAATTTCATGAAGCAAATGTCCCCTACAGGTCCAACGAGCCATTGGAACCTTTCCCTCTAGTCAGTGACTAGAGGGTAACTGGGACTAGGTAGGATGCTACCAAAATGCACCCTTAAGTGTGATTGGCCATAAAAATGGGGCCTAAGAAGGCAAAGATGCACTTTGAGGGTAAATAAGAATTTTCAACTTTTTACTTAAATGCTTGCTGAATTAATTAGTTCCAACTTCCAATTACTGATTTGCACATCATTTTAGTTTATCATTGTTTAATTGCCTTTAGTTGCCGTAGTTGTATAGACGCTAGACAAATAGATATACTTGCTGGAAGCATACATTTGTTTTATGAAAAAACCTTTTTTTTTATTTTGTTAATGTATTGAATTTAATATTTGTATTTGCATTTATATTGTATTTATTAGGTAATTTCACAAAGCTAATGTTTTTATCACCAATACTATATTGGTCTTACGACAATGGTCCAATCTTGATTTTTCCTCTTGATTACTAGCAAGATTAGAGGAAGAGTTGCCAAGAAAGAGAGATAAGAGGACAGTTATGGAAGAACATAACCCATTTCAAGGACCCATACTTTTACCAGCTTCAGTTGATAAAAAAGTAACTAATGGCTTATCTCAAATTTAACTAGTGCACCTCAGATTTAACAGCTCTTGATTGTACTTAAATGTACTTCTTTGCGTTTTAATTTAGTTAGAATTCATAAACAATTTTATAAAATATTATTCTATATTTTATAAATGAAATAGAGTATTTTATTTATTTATTTGTTTATATTTTAATATTCATGTAATTATTTTAAAATAAACTTAAAATTAAAATAAAATAACAAAAATTATAAATAAAATACAATTAAATATTATTAAAAAAGTATTACTAATGGAACTATTAACTAGTACCATTAGTGATTTTAACTATTATCGAATGATTTTTTTGTGCAAAATTGAAAAAAAAAAAGAATTATGAAAATAATTATTACTAATGCAAAAAACATTTCTAGCGATAAAATTTCATTAATTAATTACCAACATAATTTTATAATATCGATGAAATTGCATCACCAATTATACTTATACTTATGAAAATTTTTTATCAATAAATAAGTCGATAACATTATTACCACAAAAAATGAAGTACTATCGACAAAAATTTTATCCATAATACGTCATTTTTTGGTAATATATTATTCATGAAATTATAATTATATAGACATGTTACTAAATCTATATGGACATGAAACTATAATTATATTTTTGTCAGTAATAATTTATTTTCTAGTAGTGTATTGTACATGAAATTAAACTATAAGTACATTTTACTATATCTATATGTACATAAAACTATAACTATATATGTACATGAAACCCCTTTTTTCCATGGATTTTATTTCTGTCATTTCTTGCAGCTAGTGAAGACCCCTTTATTCCATGGACTCCACAAAGCGTCGAGTCAATTATGAGAAAATTGAGTGTGCAGCCCAAATAAATCACCAACTGTCACTAGTGATTCACCAGAGCTTAGCCTTCTAAAAGCTACAACTACTTGATCTTCAAAAGACACAGGTTTAACATTTGAAAATGTAAAACTTCCTGGCTTAGCCGTCATATCTTCCTTTACAAGTGAACTTATGTAGTTAAAAGTTTTTCTGGAAATTTTGAAATCAGATTTGAACTTATCCAACATTTAGATGGCGATTGAAGACCTACAGAGAGAACGTGCCAATATGAAGAAAGCAGTATTTACACATATGAAACATATAAGGTTGGTGTAAATGATCTATGGGATTTCACTAGTAACTCTGAAACATTATTTCAACTATCAGGAATAGATTATCAACGAATAAATACAACTTGTTTGGTCCATTTTCATTGGACAAAAGCGGGACAAATATTGGACTTGGAAAACCCTTCAATAGTAAAGAAAGTGGGGCAAACATCGTTGCTTCAAATATTGGATCTTGAGTAAATCTATAAGAGTTTAGAATTCACACCTTGAGTGATATATTACCCTGTTCCAAAATTTGACTTCATCCAGGTGCTCCACCCTCCGCTTTATCGGAAGCTCTTTCTCAGCTCTTTGTTTGGCGGGTTGTAGTCTAGCACTTTCTTTCCTTTGTCCGGAGAGCGTTGCCTTTCGCCGGCGAACCTTTCCCAAGTTATATCTTCACTTTTTTGCCACCATTTTTATGCGTTGGGACAGAGCTCTCCATTAAATGCGGCGATTGACCCGCCATTTTGAAAATCTGAAAAATGAGTATGGAAGCAATGATGAAATGAAGGAATGGTCGGGGAAGAATGTAGAGGGAAAGCTAGGGTTAGAAGGAGAAGAAAAGACAAGAAACATTAATTTGAGGGTGACAAAAATTAAAACCGAAGAAAATAGCTTGAACCGAGAGGCAAATTAATTCTCCTGAACCGAGAGGTAAAGAGAAGAAGTAAGAAAAATATCTCTAAAACCGAAGAAAATAAGAAAAATAATAAGTAGAGAATTATAAGAAAATTTATTATTGTTAAAAACTAAAATAGGTGTTGAAAATGGCAGAGTTAAGTATTAGTTTCATTCTTTGAGAATTGATCATGCTTTCTATGAGAATGAAAGAAGAGTCAAAAAGAAAATTAGTGATAAATATGAAGATAAAATATTTTTAATAGGGGTGAAAATAAAATTAAAATAATTAAAAATTAATTTGAAATTATAGTGTTTGATTTAATTTATAATTTTTTTTAGTTAGTTCAAATTAAATTTGAATATTAAATATATAATAGATTCGAATCTAATTTTGAATTGAAAAGTAAAAAAGAAAAAAGAAAATCGAATGAAATTATATATTTTTATTAATTTTTATGTATATTTTAAATTTTTACAAAATAAAAACAATTATTTTATAATTAAATTTATTTAAATATATTAAAAATTATATTAAAATAATATATAAATATTAAAAAAATTAAATTTAAAAAATTAATAAATCAAATCGAATTATTAAAATTTAATTCGGATCCAATACTATAAAAATTTGATTCAGATTCAATAATTATTTATGCATTATCTTTATTAAATTCAAAAAATTGAATCGAATTTGATCAAATCCAAATTGTTATCATTTTATATTTTTTAAGATAAAATTGTAATTACGATTATATCTTTATGAATTTAAAAAACATTTTCTTTTTTGTAATTATTTTTTCATAATAATAAATAGTAATTATTCTTACTTTATGGTAGCAAAATGAAAGTCTCCAATCCAAAATTTGAAATTAAATCATTACAAAGGTACTTTTTTTTTTCTTATTTAACTGCGAGAGGGTCTTGGGCTGAAAAATACTAATCACCATTGGATAGCATTGTGCTGTGCGGGCAGGGCCTCAATTGCCTTTACGCGGCAACAGCCAAGCACTCAATTAGGATCCGCAGCACGGTTGGGGGCCGTCTGGCCCGTGCATTCCCTTCTCCCACCGAAGTTTTTACAGCACAATTGCCGACAAATTTATCATTTTGTTTATTCTCCCCTTTTGGTTTTCTTTGTAGTTTTTCTCTGGTTTAATATTTTTAAACTTTTTATTGCTTGAAGTAATAAATAAATATACACTTATAATAGATAACTAACTAAATAGCTAAAAATTGAAATGAAATAAAAATAATATGTATTTAATAATGGAAATAAATATGAATTTAAATAAAATTTTCTTTTTGGCCTTTAATTAAGATTTGGGTTAGTACCTTTTCAATTATTTATTTGCTTAAAGAAATAAATAAATATTACTTTAGTAAATATGTAATTATTAATTTTAATAAGAATTACTTTAATACAAAAAATATATATTAATATTATTGATTGAATAAGTATTTTAAAATTAATAATAATATCAAATAAAATAAATAAATATAAATAATTTATTTATATACATTCAAAATGAGTAATATCTTTAATAATAATATTTCATTTTCACCATTAATCTCTCCGCATCGTTACGGTTATTTTTTTGAATGCATCAATCTCAACGCAGTGTAGTTTAATACCCACCGCATTATAACCGATATCTTCAAATTTATTATTACTGTATCAGCGCTGTGCTGGACAACATCTTACTCCATTATCTAAAGTTTGATCAATTTGATGAATTATTACAATTTGAATCCCAAATCCTGTTATACTTCCTTTCCTGCTCCATAATCTAACATCTATATATATGGGTGGGGTGGCACCTTAAGCTTAAAGTGCCAACGGCTAGCTTCCAAAGAGCCAAATCGGTGAATTCGGGGAATTAAAGATAACAAGGAATGCAGACGCCAAAACATTTTGAATTAACGCACATTTTTAATACACGTGATAATTTCGGTGTACCAACCGAGTTTGAATATTATGAGTGGGGCCATGCACGAACTATCCAAGAAGCAGGAACATACTTATTTTAAAATTTGATAACAACACTAATAACAATAATAAATATATAAATAAATACACAAATAATAAAGAAAGTATCTTTTTCAAAAGAAAGTATACAACATGTGACTTAAAATCAAAGTCCAAACCCTCATAATATATATATATTAAAAAATAATGGCTTCAAATACCAACTAAAGATAAGCACTAGGAAAGTGAAGGGGAAACAGACATCGAATAAATGCCAAACACCCCATCACAAAAAACGTGTGCCTTTCCTCTCAAAATATTTTTCTATTTGTATTTTATGTGTCTAAAACGATAAAACTAGCTTAAACCTCCCACCCAATCCCATTGAGCTGGGAAGGCATCTCTTCAAACTATATCTTGCTGTCGGGTCCTCTTCTAATTTCTTCCATGAAGGATTAGAATAAAGGGGTCCTCCCTTTTGTCCTAAACACGTTTTCTTTTACGCGTCGCGACTGACGAGCATAAGGGGATGCAGACGTCAACCTGAAAACCAAATCAAAATCCACGTGTTACTATTTTGACAGATTTGAGAGATGTTCATGTAACTTGCATTAATTATTTCAAACATAACAAAAAAAAAAAAGTCCATATTTTAAATATTTGCCGACGTTGGTATTTGGCACATTAAGAAAAAGGATGAAATTTTTAATTAGGAAACAAAAGCCTAAGCTATAGTCATTATCAATATTCTTAATTAATATACAATTTAATTTAAAAACAAAAGAGCTAGGTTTTCAATGTGCCTCCCTCTATTCAATACCCTGTTTTTTTTTTTTTTTTTAATTTTTATACCCACCGGTTCATTATTTTGACTATTTAAATTCAAAATAAAAGTAAATAATTTTTAATTTTTTTTATTTACATAACTCAGAATGTTACAAAATTTATTTAGTATATATCATCTAAATTAATGTTTTATTGACTAATGAATTTTTTCAAATAAAAAAAAAGTAAATGACTTTTCTTAAATAGATGGCTTAGGTGACACGGATCAACTAAAGCGTAATTTGATCATTTGCCGACCCTTTGCATTTTACATGTGCTTAAATGGAAACAATCAAAATTACCTTTTATTAGGCTTTTACTTGAACCAGGTCGAGATCCATCACATTCCCGGTTTTCAAAGGAGGGAAATTTTTATGAATAAAAAGGATTTCGGGTTCATCGTAAATAAATTTTAAATCATTTAATTTAGTTTAATGATTTATATTTGATTATTATTGAAACTTTTATATACTTGTCATGTTATAAAAAAGATAAATAGCACAAATTCTTCTAAATTTTAAATCAATTTTAATTTAATTATCAATTTTAAAAAGTTCCATATTAGTCTTCAATTATCAAAAACATGTATCATTTCGATTCTTTTATTTTTTGAATAATTTATTTTGATATTAAATGTCAGTTGAAATCGTGTGAACATTATTTGATTTTCCAAAAACTTAATTTCATAAAAGAATCTAATATTTTTCAATGGGTTAAAAACTAGAAGAGGTAGGTTAATGAAAAAACCCGATTGTTGCGGAAAAAGAAATGCGACCACCAAAAGCTGGAACAACATTAACTTTGTTTCAACACCCAATCACCTTCCCCTCTTTTTTTTTTTTTTTTCCTCCAATTTTTATGTTAGAAATAAACGATTTTACAGACCAAAAAAAAATCTAAACGATGCACGTTTTGGTAATTAAGAATCAAAATGAAACTAATTAAAATTCAAAATTAAAATATTAAAGAAAAACTTTGGACACCTGATTATATTACTTTTTAGTACTTTTTTTCTCTTGCTTTACCCGACTCTTTGCCTGAATTTTCAAAGTTTCTTTCAATTCAATTTGAGCCGGCCTTTTATCTATGGATTTTCCCGTTCTCAAAAAATCAATCCAAAAACTCTGATTAAAAGTTGCAAGCTGGAAAAGAGGTAGGATGCAAAACTTGAAACAGATAATCTATTTGTGAATTACTAAAACTCATTGGTTGAAGGATATTCATTTTGCTGCCGGGCAAATATATGATGAAGGGTGGGCTTACGGGCTTCCAAATTTTTGAAATTTTGATAAATAAGCCATTCAATTGTTTTATTTTTCTTGGTTGATAGGTACTACTTAACCAGCAAGACTTTGCAATTTGAAAGACAAAATTACCTGTCTTTCCGCTTTTCAAGAAATCTCTCCAATGACTTTCTCCGAGCGATGGGCAAATCTGCATAAAAATAAAAAATAATAGTCTACTTTAGAAAAAATATATTTATGATTAGAAATACCATCAGTTTTTTTCCACAATTTTAGCAAGTTCAACATGAGTATATATATATATATATATATATATATTATTATTATAAACTACTAAAGAAAAGGCAAAAAGGGAAGGAAAACAGAAACTGACCTCCATCAAGAATTCCTAGAAGCTGTTGTTGATCGCTTGAAGAATTTGCAACTTTTGGGTCTGTTGATCCCACATTTTTGGAGCTTCCTTCAACGGCAAGTGTCAAGATGCCTTCCGCCTAATCATAATTTAATATGCAATTTAAATATATTAAGTTTAAAAACAAATGAGCTAGGTTTTTTTAATTTATTTAAGTTTTTTTTTTGAAAGATCGTAAATAAACTGATATTAGATAATGATTAAACAAACCTTATCTCGAGTTATATTGAATATGTAAACTGTTCCATTGTAGAAAACTGTCAAGGGAGCTGTTTCAGGACCATCCTCGGCAGTAGCCCTGAATGAAACAAGGTTAATTCACACTTTTCATGTCATTCGATTTTAGTAAAAAGAAAGGATAATTAGATTAGCCATGAATGGAATCGAGTACCTTGTTGCAGGGCTAAGAACGGGTAAAATAGGAAATACACTCTGAGCTTCTTTAGGACTAGGCACGCAAAAGGACTTGTTCGGATCAATCCGATTCACAGTATCCTGACTCTGGTTTGTCAAACCAGAGGCAATCACAGATTTGATCAGCTCAGAATTCATCTTGGAAATGGCCCCGTGAATACCTGTTGAAATCAACCACCAACTTTTGTTAAACTACTAAAATAATTCAGAAGAATATAACAAGTACATTGAAACGTACCTCGGAAGCTTCGATGGCGATCGAGGAATTTCAGGAATTGAGATTTGCAGGAGCTCTTTTTCTCCATTCCAAAGAGATCAAGCTCTACGGTAGCATTCGACATCTTCTTTAACTTGTATGGAGAAAACGAAGAGTTTTTCGTTGTGTTTTCTTTGTTCAGTTTGCGTTAAAGAGAACATATACAGAAGGAGAATGCTTTTGTTTTAAAGAAAAAACAAGAGAAAGTTGAATATAAATGGAGAGGCAGGGAGCGGCGACGGGTGGGACTGCTATAAAATTAAATGAAAATTACATTACACGAGATGCATGAGTAAGTTATAAAGGAGATTCTAGTCACGACCAGGCTTATTAATTTTATACTTTTGGTTTTTTTTTTTTTGAATTAATATATTTGGTGGGGTATATGCGTATAAAAACGTACACGCCTTCCTCGTGGAAACTGTGTCATCGATAAAGCAGCAGATCCAACCATGTGCCCATAATAGCATAGGGAAGTCTTGTTTTCGGAATTTATATTGCCACCGTTACTAGTAGAATACTCTTTCCTTCTTAAATTATTTGCCTTTTTTTAATTTTTATATAGTTTTAAAACAATGACTTACTATATTTAACATTAAAACTAGAATTTTTATTAAATAAATGTTTTATATAATCTTAACTGTCATAAAAATTGTCAATAATCTCAAGATTGCTGATGAAATGTTAAGCTGATAAGCTCTTAGTCTCATAATTGAAATTCAAATTCTTATAATTTTAAATATAAAAATATCTAAAAAATAAAAATTCATAAAATTGTATTTCAAAATATAAAACATTAATTATTTAAAAAATAAATAATTCTGAAATATAAAAAATAGATAAAAAATTGAGAGTGTTTCTCTTATAATTTTTTATTATAATCTTATAATTGTTTAATCATATTTAAAAATGAAATAAAAATATATTATTTTTAAGTGTAGACTTTACGTAATATTTTGATGAATTTTATGTAATTTTAAATTTTTATTGATTAATTATAAAATTTTTGTGGATGATATGCTTCTGAAAAATTGGGCAGTGAGGGAAATTGCCTGGGTTGACTAGGGCCAAGTCTCATTTTTTTTTCTTTTTTAATTTATTTTTCCCGAAGACCGGGGGTTCTTTTATTTCTCGTGACTGACTTGGACTCATATGATGGAACGGGGAGCAGGCAAAGATATTTATTCGTAGCATATTTGACAAATACTGAACGTAAGATTTATTGTGGGTCGGACCATTTTGATTTTTTATTGTTTGAGAAATTCTCCTTATGTAAATTTTTATATAAAAAATAGATTTTTATTTATATTTGATGTATAAAATAACAGATAAAGTAACATAATGATTATTTTATATTATATTTTAATTATATTTTATTTTAAAGATAAGATTATAAAAAAGTTAATTATTATTTTGACATAAAATAATTCAATTCTTTTAGAATAAAAAAAATTATTTTTAATTAATGATATTTAACTTATATATCTATTATGTTTTTAAAATTTGTATCAATAATTTAAATATTATAAATTTTAAAAAATTATAATTTTAACTAATAAATAAAATTATCATATGTTAATTTTTACATACATCAAAAATAAAATAAAATGATATTTAATTTAATCATATTTATAAATCCTCTTATATTATATTATTTGTAATTTTATGTACCAAACATATTATTAATCCTTTATTTTATAAAAAATGGAAGTTCTTATCCTTTGCAAGCACCTGGATTGTTAATATTTCAATTTTTATATTGAAACTAAAAATATATTTTCTTTAATGAAAATTAATTAGATTGAAACTAAAATAACTTCATCTACACCATGACTACAAATTACTTTAAGTAATTGGGGGGGGGGGGTTATACTTATTATATCACCAAAAAAAAAATCAATCTTCCAATCAAATTTTATTGTCGAAATATAATATTAGTAATTCAATATTATTAGCTATCAATGAAACTTATTCTGTCACCATTTATCCAATGGGACTGAGGGGATCAAAACAATGTTTTTCTTATGTTTCTCGTTTCAGAATTTCAGTACCGTAATGAAGCCTTTCATTACATTTACATTTACATTTACATTTACATTTAATTTTGTTGTCACTTCCAATGTTCCGTCAAACATTCAAACTTATGCTCGAGGCATCAGCTGTAACGATCTGGAGTCCCACATATTACATGTGAACTAATTTTTTACAGTTAGGCAGCCAGTGATGCTTTCCCATTTAATATGCTGGAAACATTTGTTACATCTTTAGAACCTCGATCGCACCCTGCCACACTGCCACTATATTTTAGATCTTGGATTTCTTCAGACGACACATAAACACTTTCTAATTTAAACAATATTTCATTTTCTTTTTAATGTTACTCAGTAGTTTATTTGCCTTTTTTCCTTTTGTTTTTTTAATGGCCGATGTTCTATAGAATTCAAAGACCTTATTTCTACCCCTTGAGTTGCCTTCAACTGGTCGATCAATAAGACTAGGCATTCCGCCTATGACTCCGTAACTCGGGTGAAGTTCGTCAGCTCCACTCTCGATTGCTATATATGCTCCATTTCTCATCAACGCAATTCTTAGTTAATGATTCTGATCGTTTAATTGAAAGTGATGTTAATTTTGGCAGGACAGTTGCTAAAGAAAGTCGATTGTTAGGAAAATAGGGTGTAAGATCATGTTTGGTCTGGCTAGTTACACAGATTTTAGGCAAAGTGTTAAATCAGCGCAGAGCTAGCTCTCGTTGGTTGCTGCCACATAAAAATCCTAAAAACGTGCATGCAATCAACGAAAATTCAAAAATCATGTGGCAAAATTATCGAAAATTGGATTTAGATATGGTGATTTATCTATTTATTAGTTTGTGTTCATCCGATGCATAGATTATTTATATTTATAATTATATACACAAATAAGTATTTTTAATAAAATAATATCAAATTTACATATATATAACCAATTTACTTATTTAAGAAAATAAAATTTTTATTAATGACAGCTTTTCTTAATTAGTGGTAAGGAAAAGAGGTCTTAAAACTTTGAGATCTAAGGTTCAAATTTTATTATATGTGAGTTTGATCAAATTTTAGATTGAATTTGTTTAGTTATTGTTGATAGTTTAGAATGTGGTGCATCCCACATTGGATAGAAAGATTTAATTATTGATGAATAAAATTAATTTTTGAATTAACTTTATTTATATTTTAAATAATTATGTTTGAATAAAAACAATTATCATATGACAAATGCTCATAATTATTTGAATATAAATAGATTTATTATTCATAAAAGTTATGATTATACAGAAGATTATAACCATCTGAATAGAAGTTTATATCTATTTATTCATTATAAATAAATCTTTTAGTATAACCATTTTCACTGCTTTTGATTAGAGAGTTTTGAGACTTTGTTTCTAAAGGCATAATTGCTTTTAAGAAAGTATTCTTAATGCCTCAAAGTCAAAATTCTTTTCTATTATTTCTCTTCTCTTATTTATTTTTTCTAACAATTTAAAAAGAATTATAAGAAATTTATATTTCGCATGAGGAAGATATAAGAAAAAAAATTAGCATGATTTGAAGATCAATATTAGAGAAAGTTCAAGGTGTCAAGGGATTAATGTTTTTATAGACCAAAATATTAATTTTCATAAAAATCTTCATTAGAGGTATGTATTTTATTTTTTACATAATTGCAAGTAAAAAGATTGACTAAATGAGATAAACACGTTAACAATTTATTTCATTAGTGTGTAAAATCAAAATACAATATGCAAAATATTGATTACATTGCATAAGTTTATACATATATTAAAATTGACTCCACAATTGGGTTTAATGAATTATATTATATTTATTTGAAAAATCAATCCTTATAAAGACTATGATGGGAAATAGCCTAAAAACATAAAAGAAAAAAACATGAATTGATTTATGACAAAAAGAATTATCACTTATTATCTAGTAACGAATTAAATTATGTTCTAATGGAAGACCGATTGTTTAATTGTCATGTATTGGTTATATATAGAACAGGCAAATTATCCCATAGTTTCTATAAAAACAATCAAAAATGGGTAAAGGAATTTAGCATGAGAAATTAAATGCAAGTAGAGAATATATACAGAAAATAAGATTTGGCTACAATATTAGTTTTATTATTAAATCATGGCACCAAAATTAAGATAATAAATTGAGTCAAGTTATTTGTATGATTCTATCTTAGTTGGTCATTTATAAATCAAATTTTGATATATATATTTTTTAAATTTATTATTGGTTCAAATTTTGACTAGTGTTTAATTTTCATGAAAACCAATTAAAATTAAATTGATATATGTGAATAATTATTTTTAAGATATGGTGTTTCGTAGATTAATTGGTGGATAATAAACCAAATAATGATTATTATCAAAAACATGGGTAGTGTGACAAGTATTTTGCCTGCTAGGTGAATTACACTGGCAGTGATTTTACAAAATAAAATTTTATTGTGAAAATCATAAAAAGCTGTAAAAAAGTTAATCAATAGTTACAAAAAACTCGTGTTGCTTTTCACATATGAGATAGTGATTAAATGAAAAGGCATGCCATTAAAAAATATTGAAGCATTTGTTGGTTACTAGCATTTTGAAGGATACTCATCAATGTCTAATTAGGCATGTGTATAAATTAGAAAAGAACATGCAAATTCAATGTTCCAAAGGCACTAATACTTGCATGTGTTTAATTCTATTTTGTAATGGCATGGATAACATTGGTATAATTTTTCATATATTACGAAAATGAATTGAATGAGATGGAATTTTCTTTCTTATACATATAAAAAAGATATGGACTATGGAGATAGAATACCATCATCTAATTAATACATTATTAGATAAAGATAATGAAGGTATTTTTGCTTCTTATTCCTGGGAAAATGACCTTTTACAGGCTGTTAAAATGAAAAGTGAACAAGTTTCTGAGGTTTTCAATAGTTTCATGACATACCATATTAACATATGGGCTTAGATAATAATATTAGTTTGTGAAAGTCGTAAGCATTAGAATTAGCTAATCAATGATTTAACCAATGCAAATTCATCATGAATTTTTGCATAAAATATGAGTAGAACTCATATTATAATTATTGTTTATACTATTTTATGAAAATGATTCTTTGGATTCATGTTTCATCATTTACATTGATATGGTAATCTAGATATGAACATATTGGTCATAAAATGATTGTGAAAGTATTTGAAATTGGAGTTAAATATACTATAGACTCTTATTGTA